AAGACTTCTTACAATCTTTCTCTAAAAACTCTTTTATTCCTAACAAAACTTAATTATTTAAAACACTAAATAAGAAATAGATCAAATGTGTAGTTATTTAAGATAATAAATATTAAATAACTCTTTTATATTTTTTATTTATATATTTTAAATATATACTTTAAATAACTTTATTTAATCCTTAGTACACACTTTTAGTTTTGGGTACTCTTTACTATATACCTTGGTAGTCTAAAGGCTCAGGACGCTCGCATGGAATGCAAGAGATCCGGGTTCGACTCCCGGCCGAGGCAATATTTTTCGCAATAAGTTTATTACAGTTTTTTAAGATTTGAGAGAATTTGAGGGGATTATTTGTTTCAGATTGATTGTGTGAATCCGATAATTTCATCGGCTCTCAATTTATTTTTGAAATATTAATTCAATTTAATTGAATGTATATTAGATAGTAGTTCAACATCTTAACACTCGGACCGGGAAGGCGCTTTGTATTTAAAGTTGTAATATATATACCTTGGGTCATTCGTGTTCTAGATTAATTTTCATTACTTTTACAAGTATATAAAACGTATTAAACGATTTTTATGTATACATCTTTAAGAAAGTATTTGTAAAGTTAAATTGTATATTTATAACAAATTGTATATGCTCCTTATGGAAACAAATCAGGTACTCCTGATGGAAGTAAATCGCTGAAATCGCAAAAAATAAATCTATCAAATTAATAGAATGTTCAACGATTTCGGCGATTTATTTCTGTACAGGTACATTTTTGCGGTAGGAAAAAAGCCCTTATGTCATGTTTTTTCTCAGGTTTCTTTCTCCTACCTATAGGAATGCCTACCGCACATTAGACGATGGATGATGAATGATAAGACTGACAAATAATATCTAATAAAAGCTCTGCTTTTTCTCACGACTATGTAAAGCAAAGCTGTTATTGGATATTGCTCTCTCATCGTTCATCGCGTCCAGTATGCAATAGGCGTAAGAGTAAGACCAATCATATTAAAGAATTAAGAATTTTACTCGTAATTGTACAAATGAAATCCTCTATTAATTAATTAATTAATGTATACAAATGATTTTCCTTAAATTTCTATTTTTTAAGGCTCTACGAGAGAACCGAAAGAACAGAGAACCCTAATAATAACCATATTTTTGTCACGTTTAGAATAACTAATCCAACAATTTGATCACATTAAGATCCCTCCGCTTTGTGATACGCTAATTAATAATTAGTATCGATACAAAAAAAAAGCAATCTTCATAATAAACAGCGAGTGAAAAAATCGAGTCTTATTGAGTTTTAAACATTGATCTCAGTGAGAAATGATAATGAAATCGATGTCGAATTGATGTCGATTCGAAGTCGATTTTATGACTTCGACATCGATTCGATATCGATTCCATTATCATTTCTTATTGGGATTATTCGTCTTGTTTAACTCACGTAACAGCATGGAAGAGAACCACAAAAAAATCGCGAATATTACTCTACGAGGTTTGATACAGGAAAAGGGCCAGAATGCTCACTCAGGTTTTTTTTCTGGTTTCTATTTTATTATAGGTCTGTTATTTTATCGCTGCATTCTCTGAACTGGTGTACATAATGCAATAAGTTGAAGTAAAACAAATATATATTTAGATAGGATCGAACAGTATCAAACTAAACATTGAAATCAGCGCCGTATCGGTCACAGTAAGATGTTGAACTACTGACTTAATATACATTCAATAAAATTGAAAGTATATAATTAATTTTTCAGACATAAATTGAGAGCCGATGAAATTATCGGATTCACACAATAAATCTGAAACTAATAAATCCCCCCAATTTCTTCCCAATCTTAAAACTGTAATAATTTTATTGCGAAAAAATATTGCCTCGGCCGGGAGTCGAACCCGGATCTCTTGCATTCCGTGCGAGCGTCCTGAGCCTTTAGACTACCGAGACCTTAGCAACACTCTTCGCAATAATCGACATATATAGAGAGAATTACGCATTTTCGTAGGCTGCGTATTATAAACAAACGATAGATAGGATCGAACATTATCAAACTAAACATTGAAATCAGCGCCGTATCGGTCACAGTAAGATGTTGAACTACTGACTTAATATACATTCAATAAAATTGAAAGTATATAATTAATTTTTCAGACATAAATTGAGAGCCGATGAAATTATCGGATTCACACAATAAATCTGAAACTAATAAATCCCCCCAATTTCTTCCCAATCTTAAAACTGTAATAATTTTATTGCGAAAAAATATTGCCTCGGCCGGGAGGC